GGCTGAAGCTGAGGGCAGTTAAGGACAGGAGCAGCACGTCCGTGTGGGACACGTCAGACCACAAAGCCGCCTCTGTGCTAGGATCTGTGAAGCCAGAGGTGGTGCCACTGGCGGAAGCCCAAAAGCCAGCCCAATGGCAGGGCGCAGGGCACGGGTGTGGGGGAGTCAAGTCCTGGCCCCACGCAAGCCCCTGCCTGCAAGAGGCGGGTCTTTATGAGGAGGCCATGCGCAGCAGCATGGGCGTTATCACCAGCCTGCAGCTGGCCAGGGGAAGATGTCCCTCTCAAGGGCGGCTTTCAGGCAGGCAGCTGGCAGAGGAGGCATGGGACCCGAGTGACTGGAGATTAGCCAGGTTAGCCGGAAAATGGAGCCAGAGGCTGGGTGCGGCGGCTCATGCCTGGTAATGCCAGCGCTTTGGGAGGCTGAGATGGGAGGACTGCTTGAGGCCAGGAATTTGAGACCAGCCTGGGCAACACAGCAAGACCTCATCTCTGCAAAAAAAGTAAAACAAAAACAAAAACAAAAAACAATTAGTCGCGCAGGGTGACTCACACCTATAGTCCCAGCTACCTGGGAGGCTAAGGTGGGAGGAGTGCCTGAGCCTAGGAGGTCCAGACTGCAGTGAGCTCTATGATCATGCCACCGCCCTCCAGCCTGGGTAAGAGGCTCTGTCTCTAGAAAATAAAAATAAAACATACCTTTCTGAAAGAGATATTTTTACTTTCCAGTTTACTTGAAATAGAAGTTACTTTTCTGAGACAGTAGGATTCATTGAGAGGACAGAAAACCTCCTAGAGCAGGAGGGGAATGAGAAGGTTGCCCTATTTCAAAATATCATCTTCCAGCTGGGTTTGGTGGCTCAGCCTATAATCCCAGCACGTTTGGAAAGCCAAGGTGAGTGAACTGACTGAGCCTGAGAGTTCGAGACCCAGTCCAGGAAACTTAGTGAGACCTCGTCTCTACAATAAATCAAAAAACTAGCCGGGCGTGGTAGCGCGCGCCTGTAGTTCCGGCTACTTGGAAGGCTGAGGCGGAAGGATCGCTGGAGCCCAGCAGGTCGAGGCTGCGGTGGCCGGGAGCAGCCACTGCACTCGAGCTTGGGCGACAGAGTGAGACTCCAACTCAAAAAAAAAAAAATCTTCTGACCTGGTCTCCATAGGCCAGGTGGTATTTCATGAAGTATTGTTTGTTTTTGGTCACCACTTAGTTATATGCGTGTTCTTTACTTCTATAAAAAATGAGCCATCGAATGATGTGCACATCACCTGTCTCACATTTCTGGCTACTTTTCTTTCACGTATTTTGGCATTATGTTTTTTGTTTGTTTGTTTTTTGAGTTGGAGTCTCACTCTGTCGCCCAGACTGGAGTGCGGTGACCGCTCCCGGCCACCGCAGCCTCGCCTGCTGGGCTCTGGCGATCCTTCCGCCTCCGCCTTCCGAGTAGCTGGAACTACAGGCGCGGGCTACCACGCCCGGTTAATTTTTTGATTTATTGTAGAGACGAGGTCTCACCAAGTTGCCCGGGCAGGTCTCAAACCCACGGGCTCAGGCAATCCACTCACCTCAGCCGCCCAAAGCACGGGATTACAGGCTGAGCCACCGAGCCCGGCTGGCATTATGCTCTTAAAAGTGACTAAATTCAGTACTACTGGGTTTTCATTATTTCACATAAATTGTATCTTTATTTACTATTAAAATTTTGTTTGTGGCTGAGTGCAGTGGTTCAAGTCTGTCATCCCAGCACTTTGGGGGGTCGAGGCATAAAGATTATCTGAGACCAGGGGGTCGAGACCAGCCTAGGCAACTTGGTGAGACCTCAACCTACAATAAATCAAAAAATTAGCCAAGTGTGATGGCTCGTGCCTGTAGTTCCGATTACTTGGAAGGCTGAGGCAGAAAGGATTGCCTGAGCCTAGCAGATCGAGGCTGCGGTGGCCATGAGTGTGCCACTGCCCTCCAGCCTCGGTGACAGAGTGAAAATATAACTCAAAAAAAAATTTTTTGGATTGAGATTTATTTTATCAGATGCAACGTAAGCATCACCGCTTCTTTAGTATTCATTCCAGCACAAAGAAAACAGGTTGGCACGGTGGCTTATGTCTATAATCCCAGTGCTTTGGGAGGCTGAAGCAAAAGGATTGCTTGTTGCCAGGAGTTTGAGACTACCCTGGGCAACATAGCAAGACCCTGTCTCTACAAAATTCTTTTTTTTTTTTTAAAGGTTGGGTTCTTGTTGGGCTCGGTGGCTCAGCCTGTAATCCCGCGCTTTGGGAGGCTGAAGTGAGTGGATTGCATGAGCCCGCGGGTTCATGACCCGCCTGGGAAACTCGGCGAGACCTCATCTCTACAGCAAATAAAAAAAACTAGCCGGGCTCCGTGGCTCAGCCTGTAATCCTGCACTTTGGGAGGCTGAGGTGCGGAGATTGCCTGAGCCCGCGGGTTCGAGACCCGCCTGGCAAACTGGCGGGACTTCATCTCTACAATAAATCAAAAATCAGCCGGGCATGGTAGCGCATGCCTGTAATTCCGGCTACTCGGAAGGCTGAGGCGGAAGGATCGCCGGGGCCCAGCAGGTGAGGCTGCGGTGGCCGGGAGTGGCTACTGCACTCCAGTCTGGGCAACCAAGTGAGACTCCAACTCAAAAAAAAAACAAAAACAAAAAACTAGCCAGGTGTGGTAGTACATGCCTGTAGTTCCAGCTACTTGGAAGGCTGAGGCAGAAGGATCGCCGGAGCCCAGCAGG